GGAGGGAGAGCCCAAGTTTTATTGTGTTTAAATATTCAGAGCATTTCATTGATAATAGATTTATTTCCTTTGCATCAATATTCTTCTGCCTTGTGCTGTTTTTGTGTGGGTGGTCTTTTCTTTTTTCTATTGTTCTTTGTTTTTAATGTTTTAATTATTGTAAGCTCCCCAACTTGTTGGGAGTTGGGTAGATGATGATGATGATGATGATGATGATGATGATGATGATAATAATAATAATAATAATAATAATAATAATAATAATCAAGGTGAAAATCTATTTATGTGGTCACTAAGAGTTGACAATATCTTGATGGCACATAACCAATCTAAGATGACCTCTTAGTCATTTAGTCCTGGTGAAAAAGTAAGAAATCTTGTATAATGAGCAGCAGCCTCCATGGGGGTGGGAGGCTGTCGAAACAGGCAAGATGCCAGTTGCAGCATTACTCTCCAAGCGTTGCCCTTTTGTATGGGTCAACACACAGACCAAAGCAGCAGGGCTTGGATCAGGATGTTATGAATGCCCCCTTGCTCCCCGCCGATGGATGCCACTAATAATGAGTTTAGAAATTGTTCATAAATACATGCTTTCAAGCATCACTTTAAGCCATAGTTTGTTTCAAGACCACACCAAGCCAAAAGAAAAACAGTCTTGTAGATTAAGAAAAGAATATCTTGTTTGGCCAATTTTTAGTTTGTGTCCCTTCCTTTTTGGCGGTTGTCGTCTTGTGTCCTTGTCCTTTAGGCTTCATTAAAGTCTTGAGTGCGGCATAAAACAGATCAGGAATAAATCAGGAAATGATACATACACTGCATATTCCTGCTGATACAGCATGCTAAGCATCAGTTGAAGCCAACAATGTCAGATCATGACTTACTATGTTAGAATAAATCATGGTTTAATCCTTGACCATTCACAATCACAGCCAAACAAGGCACATTATGGGATAGTGTAATACATGAAGCCAGATATAGGTCCAGACTCCTGTATATTGATTCTGCATAGCTTTCATACTGGCAACTGTGAGAGGTGGAAAAGTAACACTGAGTCTAACCATTTCAGACCCCAATGAAATCAGACTGGTGAATGGTACAAGTCGTTGCTCTGGGAGAGTTGAAGTGCTTCACAACCAACAATGGGGAACAATCTGTGATGATGGCTGGGATCTCAGCAATGCCCAAGTTGTGTGCAGGGAACTGGGCTGTGGAGTAGCCTTAGGAGCCCCACGAGGAGCACAGTTTGGAAGAGGAAATGATCCCATTTGGCTGGATGATGTCAAATGTAAAGGAACAGAAGCTGCCCTCCGTGACTGCCGTCTAAAATCTTGGGGAGAACACAACTGCAACCATGGAGAAGATGCTGGTGCTATATGCTCAGGTATGCACTGGGGGTGGTGGTGGTGGTGGTAATATATAGTGGGCTTGGAGATTGACCACAAATAATAGGTTAGCATTTTTTCTCTTTGTTCTGCCATCTACTGGTCATTCAGATTTTGGCAACCCACATACAATTGCCCTACGTATGGCTCTTGGCATGTTGTCCAATGGCCAAGTGTAGCTGTTGGATTGAAGGAGATTGTAAGTGTCTATTTGATTGGGTATTCGTTCCCTCTCAGCTCCTGCTACCTCTACTTCTGATATACTGAGATTAAAATGCTGTTTCCTCAATAAGACTGAGTTTGCTTATCTCAAGAAAGTCATTTGCTTTTTTAAAAAATGCTCTTCTGTAAATGTCAGGAACCAACTTTTCTGGAAGCAAAAAGAGTCAGGAAGGAACAGCTTCTCCTTGTGGAGAAAAATAAAAATGAGATGTGTTGATGATGATGATGATGATGATGATGACGATGATGTGTAAAACCATGCTTCCTCTGAAGAAGCCATTATGCCTTATATTCCTCCCCTTCAGGTGAAGCAGCCCAGCAGTTAAATATTCAAGAACTTTGCCAGCAACTTATTTTCTAATGTTGTGGTTCTTCAACCTTTTGTTTCCCATCAGAACTCCGACTGGTGAATGGCTCAAGCCGCTGCTCAGGAAGAGTGGAGATCTTCCACAACCAGCAGTGGGGGACAGTGTGTGATGACCGCTGGGGCCTTAAGCATGCTGAGGTCATCTGCAGGGAAATGGGCTGTGGCGTCGCTTTGAGAGCCCGAACCAAAGCATATTATGGACAGGGAACAGGACCGATTTGGCTGGATGATGTGAACTGCCAAGGAACAGAAAGCGCCCTCAGTGAATGTACAGCAAGCGTTTGGGGAACGAACAACTGCAACCATGCAGAAGATGCTGGGGTGGAGTGTGCAGGTTAGTTTTAGTTGTCTTTGGATTTTTAAAAAAAATTTATTCCAACTGCTTTGGGGATATTTATTATGGCTGAAAATTGGGATATACATTCTAATTTCATAAGCCTATAAAGAATATACAGTTGAGACGGAGGGAGCATTAGATACAAATGGTTGAAATAATGTTTTTGTCTCATCTACAAGATCTTCCTCTTATTTCCAACAAGGGTGAGCTTACTTTTCTTAGTAAATTAGGAAAAGTGCTCTCAGATTCTGCTTGAAGGTAGTTTCAAGGTAGACCAGCAATTCTCACAAGTTTTAAATGAACTTGTGGCTGGGAATCAATTCACAAGCAGAGAGGGTAAAGAGACCTTCATCCTGATATTTGCAAAATCAGGCTAGAGTCTTTCAGTTACTAGATTCACACATCACACAAAGCCAAGGGTTTTTAAATCCTGGTTTGTTGAAAAACTCAGTTATTATGGTTCATGTAGTTTATAATCATAATCCATCATCTGCAAGTCACAGTGACCGGGTTCACACATTGCATCATGACATCAAAAGCAAATAAGCTACATTATGACCTACCACAATGAGCATTATCACCTGCATCAATCCCATATCAGTTCCTGAGACTCTGGTGATGCCAGTTACAAAGGGATGGAAACTCAGAATAAAATGCAAAAATCTCTGACTGCTGGTCAGATCAGGAAAGCCAGGTTTTGCTTCCTTTCAGCCCCCTAGCATGGAAGGAATACATGGTTCTCTTGGTTGAGTATTTATTTGTGTTTTTTGTGGGTTTTTTTTTTTTTTGAGAGCAGAACAGCTGCTGCCATTAGCAATGGAAAGAATAAGCAAGATTCTTTTTTCCTAACATTGGCATTCTCTGTCATCCCTCTCTGTATCTTCTGAAAAATGTAAGTGGGAATGAATGTAAGTGGGAACAACCAGAAGCAAATGCAGTTTAGGGTTGTGTCTCCTTGGGCCAACAGTTGACGGTGTGGCAAGGCTCAATGTGTGAAGTTGGGTCTCTGCTAGTTGTGAAGTGTAGAATGAAAAAGGCTTCAGACTGTCCTTCCCAGTGGGGTGTTTACTACAGGGGAGCATAACAGACAGAGAGCCCTTCTCCTCCAGCAGATGACATCATGAAGATGGAGGGAGGGGGACATTATCGATTAAACTCTTCCAAAAGCTGCTTTCTTTCTTTCAACTACAGCTCAACCAGGGATCTTACGATAATAATACCAGATGTAACTGGAGTATCTAAAGTCTGGACATTTGTTAGAAAACTCAGCAAATAAGGGATGTGGGACATTTTATTTCTTCCTTTAAGGTATAAAGAAAAAGAAAAAAATATGCCAAAAAAGGAAAAAGAAAGAAACAGAAAACAGGCAAAAAGGGGTAAAAAGAAAAGAAAAGGGGGAAAGGTATATATAGTAAACATTTCATTAAACAAGCAAGCACACAAACAAATAGCACTGGACCCTAACCACAAAGTTAATAACTCTTTCCATTACACTGACAGCAAGTTCATAAGCAGAAAATGAACACATACCATCAGTTTAAGACTGTAAACCCAAGGGAGCAATGACTTTCCATTCTACAAGAGTAATTATTCTTGCTACTCCACATGCTTGATAGTTTCCATTCTCTCTGTCTCCTAATAGGGAGAGAGAGA